AGGTGGGAACATAAACCTGAGCAGACTCTGTTCGAGAACAGACAGCTTAGCAAGGTCCTGGTTTGCGTCAGCGTTGAGTTGGAGCTGGGGATATCTGTGGTCTTGGGAACCCACAGTACTCACGCTGACTGCATCCTCTGCTTTTCTGTTCTGGGCCCCAGCTGTGCCTCCAGATGAATCACTGGTGACTGCTCAGAGAGCCATGCCAAGCACCCCTTCATTCTGCTTTCAATATGGTAGGCCTGGCTTCTTTCGTGCCTGGGGACACATCACCAATTAGATCGCATTATGAAACATCTGATAAATACATTTTACATTTCTTATCACTTTTATCTGAAATGTGTTCCCCAACCCAGTCCCCTTTTAAGACTTCAGGACTTATTTCCTCCTGACTCCCTCAGTCAAAGTGGGAACGTTTCATTTTCCAAAGGAGCATGTCATCCTGAGATAGATTCTCTGGCCTTAATTATGCCCTCTCAAAAGGCCTTTCCACCTGGGGAGTCACCCCTTTATCAGTGGTGCTCTTTATTTTAATAGGACTTGCTCTTTCTGGGATGGAAACATGCAAATCCAGTTTGCAATGGTTCTCAAACACCATTGGGAGGTTGATAGTACCACAAACCGTTCGAGTGTGTGAATTAAAAATTTCTAGGTGTGTGAGCATTATGCAAGCTTGTAGTTCTTATTTGAAGTTTTATATAAAAGATAAACTTGGCAAGGAGAAGATTGTTTTCTCCATCCTAGGGCTACAAGAACAGACGAGCCTTTCATCAGCTGATAATCTGTAGGTGTGGGCCTGCTGGGATTTCAAAGGGCACACATTCTTTGGCCAAATATGGCCTTGGCACATGAACCAGCCTTGTAGGAGCCTTGGCTGTTGCAGTTCAGCGTGTGACTCAGCGACTAATGTCATTTTACCTTGTTCATATCATGACCTAAACGGTCGGGTTGGGGAGGAGAGGAGGGGGAGGGAATTCTGCATTTGGGCCCCAAAGTTGCATGGCCTTACTCATCCTCCTACTCAGCTATATCCCACCAGCTACATCTAGAGACAGACAAATTCCAGGCTGGAAATGGCAGCTACCAAGTAACAAAAATGCACAAGGCCTTTAAAAATCAATAGAAAAACATAGTTAGCAGAACTAATGAGGGAACCAAAGGCAAGAGACATGTCGCTTAAATTAAATTTCCTTGGGGCACCTGGGTGGCTCAGTCAGGTGAGAGTCCAACTCTTGGTTTCAGCTCAGGTCATGATCTCAGGGTCGTGAGATCGAGTCCCATGTGGGGCTCCATGCTCAGTGGGGAGTTTGCTTGAGATTCTCTCTCTCCCTCTCCATCTGCCCCTCCCCGCCACTTGCACTCTCTCTCTCTAAAAGATAAATAAATCTTTAAAAAAATGTCCTTACAACTTGCAGCCCACTGAGAGATACCTGAAACACGCAGAGCATGACCTTCCTCAAGGAACTCAAGGCTGCCTAGTGCCTTAATGTTACATTTTGTTGACGACTAAAAGTAACCTTGTCTTAACAGCAGCTAGCCCCTCAAGGTCCTGAAAGCCTTGCTTCCAAATTCCTTAGAGATTTATGCTAGCCCTAACCCCCACTAATTAAATATACAATGAGTCACTCCTCACAATCCCAGTGCAGCTCTCTGTCCCCAGGGTCCTGTCCCCATGCTATAATAAAATCGCCTTTTGCACCAAAACCATCTCAAGAATTCTTTCTTAGCCATTTGCTCATGAACCCAAAACTTCAAATCACATCATGTCAGCAGGACCACACAAAAAGAACAACAGATCAGGTGACACCAAGGAACTTCTTCCTTCTGTCGGGTGATTTCTGATTTCTGACTGGCTGGCATAGCTTTAGTGATCTGATTCAGGTGACCAGTTACTGGAAATTCGTTGAAAAGAAATTTTCATCGAGTGATCTTGTTTTTTCCCCTTGGGTTTTTTTTTTTATTATTTATATATTGTGGGTACAAATTTCATTACCTAGGGGTTTTCAAACTTTTTAAGCAATGATCACAGTAAGAAATTGATTGTTACATTGTTGACGGAGTGCACACACACACAAACACACGCACCCACACACACGCGGACGCACACACACATGCACCCATACACAAAACAAAAAGTTCTACAAAAAAAAAATCACTCTTACTATGTATGATTCCCTTTAATATTTTCATTCTATTCTATTCCAATCTAGTCCAGTCTATTAAAAAATGCCTTTTGCTGCCCATTAAGTTAATTTCACAATATACTAAATGAACATGACCTGCAGCTTTAAGATATCCTATTACTTAAACTGTGCTTAAAAGAATGACAATTTATAGCATTCTGATGAAATACAAACTGTAACTAGAAAGTGAATTTAATTAGCATTTTTCAGGATTGCTTTCTGAGGGATCAGTAATATTGCTCATCCAACTCTTTGGTGGAATTGTAATGTACCCATAATCTCACACTTTTCCAATTCTGATGATCTGTAAACACTGCATAATTAAATCAGCCTCTTTTCTACATTCTCAGACAGGGTCTTTGGGAGCTCCTTTCAAAGTGTTACACCCGTGAGGCTTGGCAAAACCAGGGGCCATGGTGTCACTTAACTCTGGTCGTGGTGTGAGTAGACATAAAGGAGTCCATACTGGAAACAGCATGCCAAGGAAGTGCTAGAGTTTAACCAGATCCACCTGGATTCAGCACCAGGGGAAGAGGGAACCAGAGAGAAGGCCAAGTAAGATGGAAGCTGTGAAAATTATGGACAGACGGAAAAGGGAGCAGGGCATAAGGCAATCCCAAACTAAAGAGTAAAAAGCTGTAAGGGTTCCTGACCCTCTTCCTGTAGCCTTGGTTAGGAGCATACTCCAAAAGCAGTTATAGTGACATTTTATCATTTCATCCATAAATATGTCAGAATGTATTTAAAAACAAAACCAAATTCCATCATCACCCTTAAATTTTTTTAATGATTTCTTAATATTATTCAGTATCCAACTATCCACAATTGCTCTAACTGTCCCAAAATTTTTTGTTTGCTTTTACATTTTGTTTTCTCTAATCAGGGTCCAAAAATTAGAGTCATACATTTTAATTGGTTGATTTGTCTCATAATTCTTTTCATTTGTAAGTTCCCCCATTTTTTTGAATGGTAACAAAGCAAAATCCAAGACCTCTTTATAATTGAGTCTTCCCAAGAAAATATAAATTGTTTATTTTAACTTGTTTGTTGGCTGAGCAAAATAGCTGCAGGCCTGCTTGGGGGGGAGAAAAGCTTGCTTCAAGTGATATGGTACCAAGGGTGATGAAAACTGGTCCCACGTCACTGTCCCCCATCATTCCCGAAATCTCCTCCATTAGACTCACTCCCTTATACTTCTAAAAGGCCTCCTCTAAAACACGACTGCATTAAATCCCCTTGTATGTCACATTCTATAAACGGGAAATCTGTTAACCTCTGATATTCATCTCTGAGTTCTTTGCCAGCACAATGTTTAGAAATGAGGGCCCAGAGGAGAGCAAGCCTGGTGAGCTATCAAAGAGCCCACTCCAATTAGCAGAGTTTGAGCACTGAGTGCATTTAGAGGCCTCCTAATTTTCAGAAAATTGACAATCCATGTACTTATTGGTTTTTGTGTAATGATACATACCAGGATACGATGCTAGTTTTTCCATTTCCAGAATGAGTTTTCTTACATTCACTTGAATAAACTAACTTCTCCATCACCACTGAATGGCTGTTTCCTACCCTTCAAAAATTATAAAACGTTTCTTGGTATTCTTAAGCTAGCAAGCATCTAGAAACCACAAACTAGTTTTTCTTTTTTTCTTTTTCCTTTGTCATGTTGCTACTCCTTTACCTTTGCCTGGATTTGTGGGCGACATGAGTGCTAGAGAAATTATCCAAGAGTAGAAGTGCCATGTGACAGCAGCCCCCCCATACAGAGGCCATGTCAACTGCTAAATCATTACCTTTATTGAGGTAATCATTTACATGACATAGACTGCTCCCATAGTAAGGGGGCACATTTCAATGAGATCTGATAAATGCAGACACTTGGGTAACCACCACCCTAGTCAAGACACATCATAGAACATTTTCACCATCCCCCGAAGTTCCCTTATGTCACTTTGCAGTCATCTATCTCCCCCTTCCCTACTTCCAGGCAAACACTCTGTTTTCCATCAATAGAGATTAATTATGGCTCCTTTAGACTTTCGTCTAGATGGAATATACAGGATACATCTTTTGGCTTCTTTAGCTCATCCCAAGTTTTTGAGATTCACCCATGTTTTTCCATGGGTCGAGACTTGTTCTTTTTTATTGCTGCAAAGGATTCTATGATATGGATACACCGTAATTTGTTTATCCACTCCCCTTTTGATAAACATTTGAATTATTTCCAGTTTTTGGCTATTTTGAATGAAGCTGCTAAAACAAATGCGTGCAAGTCTGTGTGGACATAGCTTTCAGTTCTATTGGTAAATACCTAGGAGAGGAATTGCTGGTAAGTGTATGAGAAACTGCCAAAGTGTTTCCCAAGCAGATTGTGTCATTTTATACTCCCACCAGCGATGGATGAGGATTCCAGTTGCTCCAGCTCCTCACCAACATTTGCTGTTGTCAGTCTTCTTAATTATAGTCCTGCTAGTGCATTTGTAAAAGGATCTCACTGTAGCTGTGGTTTGCATCTCCCTCCTGATGAAAGATTTGCAGCATCTCCCCATATGTCTGTTGGCTTATTTGTGTATCTTCTTTTGTGAAGTATCCAAGTCTTTTGCTTGTTTTTATTGAGTTGTTTTCTTATTATTGACCTGTGAGAGTTCTTTCTATATTCTGGATATAATCCTTTGCCAGATTTACATATTATGAATTATTCCTCCCAATCTGTGACTTCCCTTTTTATTTTCTTAATGGAATCTTCCAAAGGGAAAATTTTAAGAAGCCGGAGCCGCACCTCCCGCATGTCCCCCCCCCCGCCCCCCCACCAGCCAGGCACCTCAGATGAGAGCAGCGCCTAGACCAGCGCCGGCAGCTCAGCCTCCCGCAGCTCAGCCTCCGGCAGCGGCTCCACCAGCTGCTGAGCCCCGGCAGCCAGGTCTCTTGGCCCAGATGGCAACCCCTGCAGCTGGCGTGGCTGGGGGCTCTGCTGCCGGACACATGATAGGTCATGCCATCACTGGGGGCTTCAGTGGAGGAGGCAATGCTGAGCCTTCAAGGCCTGACATCACTCACCAGGAGCCTCAGGGAACCCAGCCAGCACGCCAGCAGCAGTCTGACCCACGCCACTATGAGATGAAACAGTTTCTGGAGTGTGCCCAGAACCAGGGTGACCTGAGGCTTTGTGAAGGTTCCAGCGAGGTGCTGCAACAGTGCAGATCTGCAAATGGATTAGCCTAATCGAGAAGTTCAAATTGAAGATATGGAAAATCATGTCTCATAACCAAGTTAATTTAGCATAAAAAGATAATTGATGGTGAATATATAAGGTGTAAAACCACCAGTTAAGCTTCTCCTTCCTCATTAAATACAGCTTTCTTCGGAATTGGAATGAAAAATGTTGTTCTCACTGTATAGAAGTTCATTGAGATGGTTTGAAATTGGGGCTGGGCAGATGTTTGTGTGCCTCCTTAAATCACCTTTTGTGACATTCTCATTTGTGAATTAATTAGAATAAAGTGATTTTCTCCCCCCCAAAATAAAATAAAATAAAATAAATATTTGTGTGTGGCATGAAGTAACAGTAGAGATTCATTTTTGTCCATATGAATACCCCAATTATTTCAGTACCATTCGTTTTTCTACCTTCATTGAAAATCAATACATGTGTGGGTCTGTTTCTGGAATCTCAATTCTATTCCATTTATCAAAATGTTTATCTTTATGCCAATACCATGCTCTCTTGATCACTATAGCTTTGTAAATAATTCTTTTTTTTTTTTAAAGATTTTATTTATTTATTTGACAGAGAGAGACACAGCGAGAGAGGGAACACAAGCAGGGGGAGTGGGAGAGGGAGAGGCAGGCTCCCCGCAGAGCAGGGAGCCCGATGCGGGACTCGATCCCAGGACCCTGGGATCATGACCTGAGCCGAAGGCAGTCGCTTAACCAACTGAGCCACCCAGGCGCCCTGTAAATAATTCTTGAAATTGAATAGTATAAGTCCTGCAACTTTACTCTTCGTCTTAAAAAAAAAATTCCAGCTCATTTGCATTTCCATATAAATTCTAGATAAGCTGTGCACAATAGAAAGCTTCCCAGTAATACAAAGGAATGAAATATTGATACATGTGAGAATATGGGTAACTAAATAATTATGCTGAGTGAGAGAAATCAAGCAAAAAAGAATACATACTATTTGAATCCATTTATATAAAATTCTAAAAACTGCAAAAGAATCTATACTGATAGAAAGCAGATAAGTGGTTTTCTGGAGAGGAGTCATGGAAGGGAGGTAGCAAAGAGAGACAGAAATGAGAGATGTTACAAGGGAAGGAGAAAACTTTGTTATGTTCCAATCTGATGTATCCAAACTGATGGATACGTTCTTGAGTGTGGTGATAGCGTCATGAGTATACATAAGCAATAATTTATCAGTTTCTACACTTTCAATTTTAACAGTTCATTGCATGTCAATTATACTTCAGTGAAGCTGGGGATTTTTTTAATTAGATATTGCCAAAAAATGGAGTTTTCAAAAAAAGCTTTCAAAGAATATAAACGATGAAAATTAGAAGGGTTGGGGGCTTCTCAACAGCAACACTGGAGACTAGAATAGGGTAGAGAAATGGCTTCAAAAGTCCAAACGAAAATGATTTCCAACCTAAAATTCTATATCCTGCTAAGCAATAAAGCAAGAAGATGGAATAAAATTTACAGATACGTGCAATTGTTCTTTCTCAGGAAGCCTCTGTAGTGTCCACACCATCAAAACAACAAAGCAAATGAAGGAAGAGTATTATATGAGATTTTAACTTCCTAGGATCCAACACACAAGAGAGGGGAGAGGAATTCTCTGGATGATGGGAAAGAGAAAGCCCAGAATGGCAGCAGGGAGTGCAGCATCCTTAAGAGCGGGAGTTGTAACAAATCAAGTAAAAAAAATAAATAAAATAAAATAAAATATCAATGTGGATTTAAAAAATAATAAAAAATGAAGAGCAGGAGTTGCAAATAAATAGAAGCTCCAGGGGAGGTTTCCTTTTTTAAAAAACCAACAGGAGACTATCTCCTATGTTTTATAATGTAGGAAATTGTTTTGAGAGGCTGGTGGGGCAAGTCAGAAGCATTAGCAATAGATACAGAGAAAACAAAACCCATGATAAGAACTGGACAATTATTAATGCCAGAGCTAACAAAAAGTTGTGAAAGAAAGAAACATAACCATGGTATACTCTGATTATGGTTCAGCAGTAAATGATATTTATTTAGTCATAACACTAAAAATACTGAATATTCTTTAAAAAAAAAACTATGATACATTGCTACTGGAAGGAGGAGAGGAAGCATGGGGAAGAGTGAACTGTGTGTGTTAAATCCTGCTGTACCATAATAGAAAATACATAGTGTATACAATTGATCTATTAAGAAATAGAGTTAAATACTTAACTTTATGTGGGTAAACACTACGGGGGAAAAGTACATGCTTGCCTTTGGGAAGCAGGACTATGGGGGTGGGGGCCTAGGACATGGTACATGGGACTCCTTTATAAATTGTTTACTATTCTTTGACTTTTAAAACCATGAGCATGTATTTTTGTTAAAAATAAAAATTAGTTAAATAATTAAAATGATTTCTGGAGACTGTATGAAAATAAAGTGACTTCTCCAGGACTCGTCTGCTTACATATATTTTATTGGGTGAATTTTTTTCTATTTATTAGTTATCAGCCTAAGTGAAGATTATAAATGAATAATACTGCTGAAATCTTCTGGAAATTTTCTACCAAATATGTTTTATAACTATAAAAAATGATAGATTCATCTGTGTCTTGGCCAGGGTGTGAGCTTTTTAAAAAACCAACATTAACTCTGATAGTTTTCTCTAGTGTTTGTATTCTATATAATCAATTTTTGGTTTTAATCTTTATTATTTCCTTCTTTCTACTTAATTTGCTCTTCTTTTATTAGTTTCTTAATTTGGAAACTTAGATCATTGATTTTAACTTTTTTCTTTTTCTAAATGGTATTTGAATCTCTAAATTTCCTTTCAAGTGCTACTTTGGCTGAGTCCCAATATTTTGATAAATTTTATTTTCATTATCATTAAGTTCAAAATATTTTCTCATTTCCTTTGTGATTTTTTTCACTGAGCTATGGATTATTGATAAATGTGCTATTTCAATATCCAAATATTTGAGGGTTTTCTAGAAAGCTTATTGTGATTGATTTCTAATTTCACTGTTATCTGAGACTATACTCTATCATTTCAATTTTTAAAAATTTCTTGAGATTTACCTTATGGTTCAGCAGAAAGCTATTTTAGTAAATGTTACACATTCACTTGAGAAGAATGAGTATTTTGTAGCTTGGGGCTGTAGTGCTTGGTAAATGTCAATTAAATAGATTTGATTGATAGTGTCATTAAGATGTTTATGTCCTGGGACACCTGGGTGGCTCAGTTGGTTAAACATCTGCCTTTGGCTCAGGTTATGATCCCAGGGTCTTGGGATCAAATCCTACATCAGGCTCCTTGTTCAGCAGGGAGCCTGCTTCTCCCTCTGCCTGCTGCTCCCCCTGCTTGTGCTCTCTCTCTCTGACAAATAAATAAATAAAATCTTTAAGAAAAAAACATTTTTATGTCCTTACTGATTTTTTATCTATACTCTTTTTATTACTGAATGGGAGGATATTATAATCATCAACTGTGATTGTGGATTTGTCTGTTTGGTTTTTACCTTTGGTTTTTCAGTTTTTACCTTATGAATTTTGAAGTTATTTTATTAGATGCATACATATTTAGGATTATTGTGCCTTTCTGATGAATTACCCCTCTTCATCTCTTCTAATGCTTCTTGTCTTGAAATCTAACTTATCTGATATGAATATAGCAATGCCAGGTTTTTTTTTTATGCTTACTGTTTGCATGGTATATTTATTTCTGTTCTATTTTTGTCTTTATATTCAGAGTACATCTCTTGTAGATATCACATACTAGGTTGTGTTTTTTAACCCAACAGAAAATGTCTGCCTTTTGATTGGAGCTTAGTTCGTTGACATTTAGTGAAATTATCCATAAGATTAGATTTTATATATCTTCTTGCTATTTGTTTTTATTGGCTCTTTATGGTTTTTGTCCCTCTGTTGTTTGTTTCCTGCCTTCTTTTGGGCTAATTGAGTGTTTTTAGTACTTTCTCCATTGGCTTCTTAGTTATATCCCTTTTATTTTAAATGTTAAATCATTGCTCCAAGGCTAACTATATGCATCATTAACAAAGTCTATTTAGAGTCCATACTGTACTTCTTTAAACTTCACACTTCATATCTGACCTTGCACTTCCTACTTCATCCTTCCTACTTTACACCTGATACTTTTCACTTCCCATTTTGCACTTCCCAAATGTAATAAACTTACACTAATACAATTCCATTTATCACTCACCCTGTTCTTTGTGCTACTGTTGCCATATCTTTTGCTTCTACAAGTGCTGTAAAAACCCCTCACAACATTAATTTTGCTTTAAATAGTCCATTCACTTTTAAGGATTATAAAAAGAAAAATAATATTGTCATTTAAATGTATCCTCTTATTTACTATTCCTGGGGCTCTTCTTTCCTCCTTCAGATCTGAGTTCCTTTCTGTATCATTTCCTGTTAGCCTAAAGAACATCCCTTAGGATTCCTCATGGAGCAGGTCTGTTGGTGATGGTTTCTCTAAACCTTTATTTATCTGAAAATGTATTTCATTCTTTTTTTATTGCAAACTACTTTTACTAGATACAGAATTGTGGGTTGACAGGGATTTTGTCTCTTTTTTTGTTTGTTTGTTTTATTTATTTATTTTTTTAGAGAGAGAGAGTATGTGTGCGCAAGTGGAGGGAGGGCCAGAGGGAAGTGAGATAGAGAATCTTAAGCAAGCTCCACCCTCAGCACGGAGCCTGATGCAGGGATCAATCTCAGAACCCTGAGATCATGACCTGAGCTGAAATCAAGAGTCAGATGCTTAACCAACTGAGTCACCCAGGCACCCCTCTTTTTTGTTTGTTTTAACCCCAGCACTTTAAATATACCATTCTATTATATTCCATTTTGTGTAAATTTTTTTTGTTTCTAGTTGGTTTCATGATGTTTTACCTTTGATTTTCAGCAGTTCAATATGTCTAAGTGTGATTTGTCTTATATTTACACTTCTTGGAGTTTGCTTCTTTCCTAGATATTTAAGCCTGTAATTGTCATTAAATTTTGGGACTTCTTGGTCATTATTTACTCAAATTTTTTTCTGTGCCTTTCTTTATGTCTTTTTCTTCTGATATTTCTATTACATGTATATTAGACC